GCAGGTCAGCTCATGCATTGACTTGAGAACCTTCCATTTTTAAAGAAAGTTTCTGCCCATGTATTTATACTGCTTTTAATTCATGCATTAGACACGAGCACTTTCTGTATGCACCAAGAGTTGCCATCCAGGCTCTAGAAAGAAAGTGAAGGAGGGGGAGCCATTTTGCTGCTATGATTGCATCCTGTGTCCAGTCAGGAAGATCTCAAGGGTAGGAGATATACATTCATTGGAAATAAATTTATTTATTGTTGTAAGCCGCCCCGAGGCTTCGGCGAATGGGGCGGCATAAAAATGTTTTAATAAATAAATAAAATAAATAAATATTCAAAGTGGTTCTTTGTACATGGGGTGATAGTTCTTCAGTGGTTCAAATGGGATCGGAAGATTTTGTAAGTGATGGAGTTGGAGGAGGGGAAATGTGTTGATTCCCTTCCATCTTTCATTGGTTCTTGATATTATGAACCACAGCATCCTTCTGCTTCAGCTGTCTGGGTTGGTAATTATCTCTATGCTGTTAAACATTTGCCCAGACATCAAAATCAATCTAAGAATTTCTTCTTCAGGAGTCCCTGCTAAAGGAAGTGAGTTGGGTGGCTCCTAATAAGACAGACTTCTCTGTGGCGCCCCATTTGTGGAATGAACTTCCTAAAGAGGTTTGCCTGGCACACAGACTATGCTCTTTCCAGCACCAGGTGCAGACATTAGTTTCCTGGACATTTCGGATTTCAGTTTTGTTTGTTTGTTTGTTTTTTGTTTTTGGGGGGGTTTTTTGTTTTGTTTTTTAATGCTAGGCCATATGTTAAACTTTTTGGTTGCTCCTGGGTTTTGCTTTGGAGATTATTTCTATTTTGCACTGCACGTTTACATGAGTTCTTCTAAGCCACTCAGAAAACAATGACCATTGGGCAGGAGAGAAATGTAACAGATCAATAAAATATACTGATTGAGTGGGTTTCCTTTACTTTCTAGATATGAATCATTGCAATCCATGTTCAGGTACAGAGTATCCAAACAAGAATCAGGATTTCTGTCTTCTGAAGACCACAACCTTCTTGTCCTATGAAGAAGCTTTGGGGCTCACATTAGCCTTCCTTGCTCTTGGCTTTGCTTTCATCACAGTTTTGGTGCTGGCTGTGTTCGTGAAGAACCACAGGACTCCCATAGTCAAAGCCAACAACCAGAAGCTCACCTACACTCTGCTCAGCTCCCTCCTCCTCTGCTTTCTTTGTGCTTTGCTATTCACTGGGGAGCCTCAGGAGCTCACTTGCCTCCTCCGTCAAACTGCCTTTGCCATCATCTTCTCAGTGGCTGTTTCTTCTGTGCTGGCAAAAACCCTCTTGGTTGTCCTGGCTTTCATGGCTACTCAGCCAGGAGTCAGGATGAGGAAGTGGTTGGGAAAGGAGAAGGCCAGTGTCATTGCTCTTTCCTGCTCCCTCATCCAAGCAGGCATCTGTAGTGTGTGGTTGGGAACTTCACCCCCATTCCCAGATGTTGACCTCTTCTCCATGGCTGCAGAAATCATACTGGAATGCAATGAGGGCTCGGTGATGTTTTACTGTGCCTTGCATTACATGGGCTTTCTTGCAACCATCAGCTTCACAGTGGCCTTTCTGTCCAGGAAGCTGCCCGGCAGTTTCAACGAAGCCAAGTTCATCACCTTCAGCATGCTGGTCTTTTGCAGTGTTTGGCTCTCCTTTGTTCCTTCTTACCTTATCTTAGCTTCCACCACAGGATTGCTGGCTTTCATCTTCTTCCCCAAATGCTACATTATTGTGCTGAGACCTGAGCTGAACAACAGAGAACAGCTGATTACAAGAAAATATTGAAGAAAGCATGCCTGTTCTTCCTTTCATTTATAGTATAGAGGATTGTGCTGCCTTGGAGAAATGAATCTAAGTTTCTACTCCTTATGTTCCCAGATTCACTTTAGCTGCTTGACTGGCAACTGATATATGCAGTACTTGGAGCATCTTATTTTCCTACTTCTTTTCAGGATCAGAGCCTCATTCATCAAGGAAGTGTCAGCAGTGCTTCTAAATTGTCATACATTTTTTGTCTTGTTAGGTTTCAATTTCCTGCTGGAATAACTGTAAAGTCATCCTATTAAATGGTTCTGCAGTATAATCAGCTTTTCAAAATCAGTCAAATATCTTAAAGTGCCTTGCCCTGATTGTATTTCCACTTTCAATCTGGAAATCAGTCGATCATAAGCAAACCACTACATAGTTTTTCCTTCTTCTTTTAGTTCTTACCAAGATTAGACTTGTGCTTGCTGATCAATCATGTCTCAGTAGGTTACAACATGGTAATTTTTCCATATGTTTCAACTGGAGACATCAGAGGGCTAATATTTTTCCTCATGGAATATGAAGTTTTTATTAGGCTGTCTCTTAATGCATGGTTATTATATGATATCAAGACTTTTTAAACCAATTCTTTAACCCACAAGAGACTGTGCATTCCATCTTCAAGATCTGTTGTTTCTAACTACAATAGCCTACCATTAGCTTTTAAAACAGTAACATGAGCTGCTCTAGTTGCTACTTCTAGGTCAGACTCCCAGCTTTGACTTGCCCCATTCCTACTAGCCAAACCTCTTCCCCACTCACTGCTGCCAGGAGCAGCAGAGGATGGTAAAGAATGGTGTTCCTTGCACAGCACATGGGGCTCAATTCCTGCCAAGTACCCATGAACCCTGGTCATCCCCTCCATCCCCTTAGTTGGACTGGGCCCCTAACTGGACTGGTGTCTGGAAAGCAAAGTGAGGGGATGGAGTGCATTTCCTGCACCAAGCATATTCCTTGCACATCTCTGCTCATCTGTGGATGAAGACTGCAGAAGGAACCAACATGCTCCATCAATGTGAAGAAGATAAAATGCCACAGATTGTGTTGAAATGAACTTCAGCCATCCAGCTCTCATCTGCGTACTTCCTTTCACATTCATCCCAGTCCTGCAAAGAGAGCCAAGCCAAGAGGAAGTCCACAAATGACCATGGAACAAAGGCTGAACAACTAGTAGCAGAACAAACTGCTGAGAGAAACACAGCTAGTGGTTGTGCAGGGCTCCATACCCAATGACCTTTCCTTGGCCACACTTCCATGTCAGGTGGCACAGGACAAATGACTACTGCACATGGAATGGAAGAAGGATGTCCCTAGCAGTTGTGGAGATCTCCATTCCTGGAGAGTGCTGCACAAACACTGGACATGCTCATCAGGAATGTGCACTTAAGGCCACAGCAAGCAGAACAGGGTACAGAGAAGCAAGTCCACAGAATATAATGGACTACCACCCCTCCAACAGTTTTTTTATCCCAAGCTAACAAGAACCCCAGATAAACTCTGGAGAACTTACATGAAGGCTGTGAGAGTAGAGACGCATATTTTGAGTTTCTTATTCTGCTCAGCAGCCTCAACCATCCAGAGTTTACATGTCATCAATATTTCCTGCTTTCCTCCAATGGCCTTGCTGTCTATGTGGTACCTTCTTTACCAGAGCTGGCATGCCTGCATACAGCAGTTGCTGAAAAACCTGGGCAGGAGGAGGCCTTGCACTCACCCTGCTTGATGGGTACTGCATGCAGCTGGTTTTCCACCATATATATGCAGTGCTGGACTAGATGGATTTTTGGTCTGATCTGGCATTGCTTTTCTTATGTTCTTGATGCCTCAACACTGATAGTTAATGTCGATTGCAAGCAACAAAACCAGTTTGTATTAATAGATTTCTGTAGGCCCATTTAACCAGCATGAGGAAAGAGCGCAAAGAAAGTAAAGCATTAATTTTACATACCCAGAAATGGTCTGAGATTACTGGGAATTAATCATTTATTTCAGGAAGAAAAAGGGGGCATTGAAATTAAATACCTCTTAATGTTCAGTTTAGGATGTTTACAAAATGCCCTGTACAGTCTGGATGCATGTCCAGGGACGGGTCAGCTGAACAGATATTGACAATGTGAAAGAAGGAAGGAAAATCCACCCAACCACTCTGAAAGGTAGCTAGTGCAAAGTAGCTCAATAGCTTGGAATCACCACTTGATCATCCACTGCAACCCAAAGAATGTTGGCCTCAAGCCTCATGGAACCTTTGGGGAAAATTGGAATAAGGGGAATTGGCATGGGCTCTATTGTATTTTCTTCATCCTGGACCTCAGTGAGGGAGCCAGATCCTCGGTCTGAGGCACTGAGTAGTGAGTTGAACTGCAAGAAACTGCACTTCACTGACGTAGGATTACAACCTTTTACATAAAGTATAAAGAGAAATGCCATGGAGGAGGATAGGAAGAGCAAATTAAGATACAGGTACCCACACAGGATCCTTCTGAAAAATGTAGCTTCAAGAAGATCAAAGGCTAACTTATCTACCCTACATCCTGCATGGTGAAACAAAAACAGTTCCAAGGAATTATGGAATGATCCTGAATGGGAAAACAGGAGTTCACATTAACTGCTTGGTACAGAAAGACTGCATAAAATCTGTTTTCTAAGTCGAAGTTCCTGACCTCTGCATTGGAACTAAACTTTTCACCACCCAACATTTAACCATTAGTCTTGAACCGAGTGATAGCTTTGAGTGTGCATGACAAACAAGATTAATTTCCATAATATATTGCAATCACACAAAGTGCCCCAATGGAAAAGAGTTCTGCTGTTTCATTAAGTCATTGAAAGCATTAAGTGGTCAATGCTTAGGTACATCAAACATATTCTTTCTCTCAGCAATTCATCAGGAAAATTTCAACTTTGAAATGGTAATTAACTTGCATTTTAATTATCCAGAGGGCAGCAATTAATGCTGGCACTCCACAAAACCCCTCTGGAGTTCTAGTAGCCCCAGACCACCAGAAACACAAAACAGTGAAGGCTGTCATAAATAAGCTTACTACAAGACAGAGATGAGGAAGGGACTAGGAACAAGCAAGGTTCCTGTGATGTGATGTTGGAGATATTGCTGTCAGCAGACAAACTACCATTTGAGGAGGGAGTTCCATGATGGAGTACTTCAAAGACTGCCGTGTTGTCTTGAAAACAGAGAGAAGGAAATGTGTCACTGTTAAAGTTGACATTGAGTTGAGAATGGTGCTGCTTCAGGTCTTGCTTCTGGCTTTATTTTCCAAAAGTGAATGCCTGGCACACATCCTCAAATGCAGCAACTGGGAGCCGCCTATCCCACTGCAGGCCTATCAGTCAGGAGACATCCTCATCGGCAGCATCACTTTTCATGGTTTAATCATTTCCAGTGCACTAACCTTCACTGAAGAACCCCCACCAGACTCACTCAAAGAATTCATGTATGGATTGCACTGCTGTCTGTTTTCATTTCTTCATCTGTCAGAGCAGTGATCACACCCCAGGGATAAGGATTCATAAATGAATTTTACCTCTACTTGGCCATGAATTGCTTCTAATTGCCACACATTCAGGCAGCACATGAAAGTAGACATGGAGAAAGCACACCCACACAGAGGGTAAAAGTTCATGCATTTTTTTTTTTTTTGATGCTACTTATTTTCCACAAAATTTCTCCAGTATTGTCTGCTGCCCATGCTGTCTGATGTAGACATTTTTGTATGCAACCTTACCACCTGCTCCCAGGGCTAAAGCCCTGTCAAACTGAAAAGAGTTTGCCTCCTACTACGTACAGCCATAAAGCTTTGCTATGCCTTTGTAGACGCTCGTTCTGTGACTTGGTCTTTTTCTGTCTAGTGCCCAAGCTCTTTCTTTCTGGCACTTTCTTTCTGCCCATGCATGTATAACTTGTAGGTGCTGACTTCCACTGATTCTCAGGTGTTGCCTCTCCTTTCAGCATGATCCCTAAGAATTAACAGCACCTCCTGGCCTTGGCATTTGCAGTACAAGAGATCAATGAGAGCCCTCACATACTGCCCAATAGCACGTTGGGCTTCCATGTCTATGACAGCTATGACAATGAAAGGAGAACCTGCCAGGCCACCCTGCGACTTCTGTCAGTACAGGAGAGATTGGTCCCGAACTATGCATGTGGCATCTGCAACAATCTAATAGCAGTTGTTGGGACATTGGACTCCCAAATCTCTCTTCATATGGCAAATATCTTGGATATCTACAAGATTGCACAGGTGGGGAACAAGTTCTTTTCTGTATGTGAGAGATGGGAATTTAAATAACCTCCTACACTTCCTAGTTTGTTTCCAGCTTTGGTCTTAGAAATTGTTCCAGTGAAATCAAGCAGATGAGTTCTTATTCATCTTCCTTTTACCCAATTTAAATAATGGGAAGTATACATCAATTGCATATTTGATCATTCTTTGATCATTCTTATTAGCCATTCTTAATCTTGGTATCATGATTACTATGGTAAAAGTTTTCATGACTTTTAAAAATTGCTTTTCCTTTTTGCGTTACACACTTGAATCAAATCACAGCTTGAGGAATAATTAAAAATAACTTAAAAGATTGTAATTTTTGCTGTAATACAGAGCAGTACAACTTATACATTTATGGGAGGCAGAAGGTCAAAATCCATGATCACTCTCATTCAGATGCAAGTTTCTCCACAGGTCAAACCAGCTAAATCCAGCAGTGCAGGACTGAGTTTAGAAACTCAACATTGCAATTCCACATATTCTTCTCAAACAGGGAATCTGAAACCTCATTTTGTGGAGTGCTGCAATTGATTTGATGGGTTTGTAATATTTTGGATGTAATGCTATTCCTCCCTTCTCATGGTATTTTACTTCCTTATTATTATTACAAGGAGTTTCTCTGATATCCTGGAAAAACAGGATGCCAGTTCAACATGCACATTCATGATTATTTCAAGATTTCTTTAGGAAGGTCCAGTGAGCAGAACAAGCTTGCCAAACAGGCAATCCTGGAGATGTGTTGCCCTCCAAGTCTCATCAAGCCATGACTGCTGGGAATCAGAAGAATTTAGCTCAAACACATATTGAGGACTCCTGATTGTGGGAGAATTGGAATTAGTTTGGAAAGCATAAAATATATAAGTTTTGAAATGCTTTTCTGAGAATTGCTGACAGCATGCATGTGGATCAGACTGAAATTTCTCAAATAATTGATATTATTTTGCTAACATTTCTTCAGCTTCTCCTTAGCTCATATATGGTGTGGCTCCAGTCATGAATGATAAGACTCCAGAACTTCCCTTCTATCAGATGATTCCTCATGAAACTCTGCAGTAAAAGGGGATTCTGTCTTTGCTCCTATATTTCAGCTGGACGTGGATTGGACTAGTTTTTATGGATAATGACAATGGAGAAAGATTCTTGCTCACTGTCTTTCCAATGTTTTCCAAAAGAGGTGTCTGCTTTGCCTTCTTAGAAAAACTCCCCTCATATACCTACATCACTAACCTTAGTGCCATTTTAGAAAAGGGGGCAAACATACATGATAAACTAGTGGATAGCAAAGCCAATGTAGTTGTTCTTCATAGAGAATCATATTCATTTGCAACTTTTAGATGGCTTCCATATATACCAGAACTGGAGAACAGGACAAGCAAATTCAAAGGCAAAGTCTGGGTAGTGACAGTTCACATGGATTTCAATGCATTGATCTTTCAAAGGAATTGGGAGACAGGAATATTCCACGGTGCCCTGTCTTTGAGGATGCACTCCAATGACCTACCAGGATTCAAAGTATTTGAGGAGAGCAGAAATCCAGTCAGCACAAAAGGAGATGATTTTCTCAAGATCTTTTGGCCACAGGCTTTTGGCTGTCTTTTTCCAAGTTCTGAAGCAGAGGATTTGGAAGAGGAGATCTGCACTGGGAAGGAAAGGCTGGAGAGTCTTCCTGGATCTTTCTTCGAGATGAGCATGACTGGCCAAGCTATAGCATCTACAATGCAGTCTATGCTGTGGCCCATGCTATGCATGTCAGGTCTGCATCTGAAGTAAAACACAGGGCCATCATGGAGACAAAAGGGCAGAAGTTCAGAAATGAAGAACCATGGCGGGTAATGTTCTCCCAGTACTCAAATGTGAAACTCCCCTGCCTTCTGCTGTGGCAAAAGCCTCAAACTATCCCTCAAATTATATTCTACATTCCAGTCACCTTCCCCTGCCTTCCTCTTCTGAATTTTGGACCAAGTTGTAGCTCCACTTAGCCACTACAGTACTGTGTGATTTGGAATCAGACAACTGCCTTCAGTGTTATAGACAAAGGGTTGTTGTGAGGATAAAAGTTGGGTAGAAGAAAGTTATTTTAAGCTACCTTGAGTTCTACACGAGAATCAGAAATGAAGAGCAGCAAGTTAACTCCCATTCAATACATGAGTAGCATTTCATCAATCAGTCTCTTCATCCCTGGAATTTATTATTGACATTCTTCCCCAGTTGATAGTAGAACTTAGCCTTGTATGCTGCAATGCAATCCTTCTCTTGTATTTCCATTTTCATTCTAGCTCCATCACTTTCTCAGAGGGGTCTCATTTAATAACAGTCCTCACAACATGATTTCCTTCAATGAGAAAGGGGAGATGGTACCAGGTTTTGATGTTATCAATTGGAAGTTTTTTGCCAATGAATCCTTTCTCCGTGTGAAAGTTGGAAGGATCAATCTTCAGGCTTCTACAGGCCAAACTGTCACCATGAATGAGGAGGCCATCATGTGGCACCACCAGTTTAACCAGGTAGGAACCACTGGTCAGTTCCTTGGAAACAGCACTGATCCTTGTTCCTGCTGGTTTTAATTTCAGTCAATTCCAACAAACCATCATGCAAAACACATTTTGGATTGAAAGAAGCATATTGTGTGAAGTGAAGGCATAAGAGGGAAAAGACTTCCACATGGAAGGTTTTCTTTGCCAACAATACTGTTACAACAAAACCAATGGAAGAATGTAAATGCAGTTAAATTTATATCAGGTTTTTATTATTTGGAATAGATTAGCCAACATTTTTAATACTCTGCTAAACAGAAACCATGCAAACACAGCCAAATGTCACTGAAAATGTCTGTCTAAAGCTGTTGTGTCTGTTCCCAGATGTGTGGGGAATATCTTGGGAGACACTGAAGGGCCCAGCCCCAGAACCTGGAAATGATACCAGCCACAGACTTCAGATTACCACTCTTGTCCTTATAGACCTGAACAGCAAATGAGATCAAAGGAATATACTGTATGTAGAGTGATTATCATACCTGTTTGATCCAACAGCTTATAAGTTAATTCCAGTTCTCATTGAAAATACTCCTACATTTTGCTTCTGGAAACCTTCTGTAGCAGATTAGTTCTGCTTTCAAAGTCTGCTGCTGACACTCATCCATGATGCATGAGGAGCAATAATTTTCCTGTTCTATGAGTAGCATTCTAAATAGTTCAAGGCAGTCTTCTAAGATAATATCTGATGCATTGTCAAGCAATGCCACTTCAAGAAGTGGCATCTCATCTAGTACATTATTCTATCATTTGCTGTATTTCTTCCTACAAAATGAGGGTCTGTGTGAGCACTCACCCCTAAATAAAGAAAACTTGCAATTCATGGTAGTAAATTAAGAATCTCAGCCTGGAATGCTGGGAAAATTTTGTAACTTATTTGTTGTTTGAGAATCTTCCATTTAAAAAAAATGATTTCTGTTCATGTATGTATTCTGCTTTTGTATTCACATATTAGACACGACCACTTTCTGTATGTACAGAGCGTTGCCATCTGGGCTCTAGCAAGACAGTGAAGGAAGGAGAGCCGTTTTGCTGCTACAACTGCATTCCATGTCCAGATGGAAAGATTTCAAGCCAGGCAGGTAGGAGTATTTATTTAGCTATTCATTTATATTAATATTTCTATACCACCCTATTCCCATCAGCTCTGGGTGGTGTACAAGAAATTGAAACCAACAGTGATGAACATGGACTAATACAATATATTAAATAAAACTAACATGGAACTAATTAGTCAGAAGATATAGGCTTTAACTCCTTAATGTGAGAATCTGTAAAGTCAGATGCATGTCTCTGCATGTAATACACTTTCATTGATTAGATATTAAAAGTGGCTGTTTTGTAGATGAGGTGATTGTTCTTCAGTGTTTCAAATGGGATCAGAAGGTCTGTGAACCAGTGCCTGGCCATGGTAATGGACTTGACCAGGAGCAATACACTGAGACTCAATCCAGGCAAGATAGAGTACTGGAGGTGTGGTTCGCATGTAAGGGAGGAGTGACCTCTTTCACCCCTTCTACAGAGGTTGACAGTTCCCATAATGGCTCAAGTTTGGCTGAACTGTCACTTGTCACACAGGGGGACCCTGTGGTATGGGGCAGCTTTCCCCACCTTAGTTTGCTATGCCAATTATATCCATCTCCATCCAGGTACAGATTAGTCATCTATGTTTGCATAGCCGGTTTCATGGATTAAGGCATTTTACTTAAGACTGCCTTTCCAAATGGGTCAGAACCTTTGGCTGGTCCAAAATAGGGCAGCAAAATGGCTAACAAGCACTGGCTGACATGATCTCTTTTGGACCAGCATTATCTGCACAGACTGCCAGTCCATAACTAGACAGATTTCTCCTAGATTTACATTCCAAGCCCTACATGGCTTGAAATTACCAAGGAGAACATAGTCTTTTATATATACTTGCCCAAAAAATAACAAAATCATCCTAAGAGTTTATTTTTCTGGAGTCCCTGCTAATGGAAGTGAGTTGGACAGCTCCTAAGAAGAGAGACTTTGCTGTGGCAACTCATTGGTGAAATGACCTTCCCAAAGAGGCTGGCCTGGCAGATAGATTGTGCTCTTTCCAGCACCTGGTGCTTTCCTGGACAATTTAGCTGTTCGGTCCTTTTTTATGCTTGGCTATATGTTAAACCTTTGTGTTGTTCCTGGGTTTTGCTTTGGAGATTATTTCTATTTTACACTACAGTTTTAAAGCAGTTCTTCTGAGCCGCTCAGAAAGCAATGGCCATTGGGCAGCAGAGAAATGTAACAGATCAATCAAATCAAGTCAAACCTGACTGGGTGGGTTTGCAGCACAGAACCAGCAATGGTTGCTTTTTTACAGAAGTCCATCTGATTTGTCATACAAAGCTAGCCATGGAGTTCATAGTTTATTAGTAACCACAAATAGGAACAGTGGCCTATTGTATGGTTTCTTGGTAGCACAATGGCTCCCTGTCTTTTCCTTATCTAGAAAAGCAACATGTCCTGCCACCAAGGATGGAACTATAGATCCACGTGGCAAGAGTGAACAACTGCCACTCTCACCCACCAGCTAGCCAGAGAGCATCATTTCCTAAAGATGAGCTGGTCAGTGGTGAGAGAAGAGTACTGAGTGGGAGGGGTGAGAGTCAGCAGGCAGCAGTAATGAGGGGGAGGCATCATGGGGTTGGGGGGCCTTAACACTCTGGTTTGCCAGAGAGGCATTCCCAACCCAGTGTCCACAAAGTGAGCACTTTAAGTTCCAGGGTTTGAAGGGTTTGGGAGAAATCCCAGCATCATGGGAAGGATACTTGTCATCATCCAAAGATTAATATTAGGCTGATTGGCCTATAGTTCCCCAGTTCATCTTTTTCCATTTCTTGTAGATGGGGAGAACATCAGCTCTTCTCCAGTCATTCAGCACTTTTCCTGTTTTCCAAGATTTCTCAAAGATTATACTTAGTGGTTCAGAGAGTTCTACCAGTTCTTTTGTCACTCTAGGATGGAGCTCAGCAGGCCCGGGAGATATGAATGCATTAAGCACATCAAGGTGCTCCTTGGTGAATTGTCTAGAGATCTTAGGCTGCCTGCCCACCCTTTTGTCTTGTACTTCCTCCTATGGAGGTAGGTCATCTTTTCTCTTGTGTGAGAAGACTGATCCCCTGTAGGGGTTAAGTACCTTTGCCATCTGTTATCTTTTTGCTGTCCACATTGAATTGTTGAACTCTCCTCTCTTTTGCTTTTTGTTTTGGATGTAACTGATGAAAGTTTTTTTTGTTCCTTTTAGCAAGCCTCACTAGTCTCAGCTCATAACCCACTTTAGCCTTCCTGACTCCATTCCTGCAAGTCTTTGTTGTCTGTTTATATTCCACTTAATTTATTATTCATTAATTTATTTAAAACATTTGTATGCTGCCCAATTGTGCCACAGCACCTCTGGGAGGCTCTCAATTACAAGATAAAAACACAATAAATACCTGAAAGAAGATTTTTAAAATAGAATAACAATAAAATACAAGCAGAAATATAAAACAAAGGTCAAATGGAAATTAATTATTAAAATATGTATTTTTAAAAGGAAGGTTTTTGCCTGGCACCAAAAAGAACATAAGGAAGGTGCCAGGTGAATCTCCTTGAGGAGAGCATTCCAGACATGGCAAGCAGCTGCAGAAAAGGCCCTCCTTCTAGTGGCCATCCCTCTCACCTCCTTAAGGTGAGGCCCCCTGCATAGATCTCAAAGGCTGGGTAAGCATGTATGGCTGTAGGCACTCCTTAAGATAATTGGGGCCTAAGCCAATCAGGGCTTTATATGCCAACACAAGCACCTTGAATTGGGCCTGGGCCCAATTATGTGTTTTGTGGGCCACTGTGTCACCAACTGAGGGGTTCCCATCACCAACTGAATGGCCCTATTCTGTACCAATTGTAATTGCCAGATGGGCAAGTCCCACGCAGAGTGCATTGCAGTAATCTATTTTGGATGTTACCACTGCATTGGTGACTGTTTTCAGGCTCTGTCCAGGTAGGGATGAAGCTGGTGTACCCTCCATAGGTGGAGGAAAGCACCCCTGGACACTAAACTCACCTGATATTCCAAGGATAAACCCAGGTCCAGGAGCACTTTCGCAGCGTGGCCTCCCTATCACTTCCTATACATATCCTTTTGTTTTCAGGTTGTCTCTTAAGTTTTTGTGGAGCCATGATTTCCTCTGTTGTCTTTTGCACTTTTTAGTTGGAATTAGTTGTTGTGCTTAAGGGAATTTCCTTCCTTCCTTCCTTCCTTCCTTCCTTCCTTCCTTCCTTCCAGATTCCCCATCTCTCTTGGACTCCTTTTCCCTTGAGAGTGAGTTGCCAGGGGATTTTGCTTATCATTGATATTAAATTCATGCCTTTTGAATTTAGGGTATGTGATGGGCTACAATTGATTCTTGTCATTTTCTTAACTGGGAATTCAAGAATGACATGGTCACTTTCCCCCAGGAAACCAGCAGCTGCTATTCTGTCCACTAGATCTGGCCTGTTGGCAAGCAGTAGTTTGAGTGTTGTTGTTCCTCTTATCCCTTCCTCTAGAGGAAGTTATCAGTGACACATGTAAGGAATCTCTTGGAGTAGCCGTGTTTGGCTGCATAAGTCTCCCAGCAAATAGTTGGATAATTGGCACCCCCACACACACACACACACCGATCATGCTTCCTTGCAACACTGGTATTTTTCTCCCCAAAGATAATGTCCTTGTGCTCTCTTTGAGTGGCTGAACAATAACAGACTCAGATAACTATGCTGCTTTTGGGTGTTTTTGCTCCTCTTAACCCAACCCAGATGCACTCAATGTGACTACTTAGCTCCTCCTGTAATTCATTGCAGGTATAAGTGTTTTCAATGTATTGTATGACACCACCTTCCTTTTATCTTTTCTGTTTTTCTTGAAGAAGAAAATTATAAAGGTTCACATTAAAAAAACCCCCAGATTTCTGCCCCATTCCTAATGTGTGTGCGTGCGTGCGAGAGAGAGAGAGAGAGAGAGAGAGAGAGAGAGAGAGAGAGGAACACACAGAGAGACAAACAGACAGTCAATATTTTGTGAATACTCTGGGAAATGGATGTAGGAAACAGACTTATTTCTTTGAATACTGAAAAAGGAGGAAAAGGGCTAGTGAATCAGTATAGTTCCAGCATAGCTTCCTCTCTTAAAGAGCTGTGAGTACATTAGGGTAGAACAAGATATTTTACTGGGTAGCAATAAATGACAGAGCTCAGATGCAGGAAATATAACAGCACATAGACCCTTGAACAGATGCTCAAAATTCCTATACAGCATTATGAAATTGTACAAAACAAAGAACCAATTTGGTAATTATGAATAGTTCTGAGAAAATGACTAGGAACTTTTCTCAAAATGGTAAGGATTTTTTTTAAAACTGAGGGTCCCTTTTATGAATTTCATAACTGAGCTCCCCAGTCTAAAGCTTTTTGTAATACTGGAAATAGCACTGATGTGCATTTTGTTAGGGAAAACTGCTTGCAATCTGTCTGTCTGTCTATCTACCTACCTACCAAGCTATTTGGTTTGTCTCCTGCCCCACTGGCATGGCTCATCACATAGTGAGTTCTTATTGAAGAACATCTATGTATTAGAACAAGTGTCCACAAAAATGCTTTAGGAATGTCTATGTGAAAATCTGTTCCAATTGCCCAGTTCAGCATGTTCCAAATTCTAAGAAAGGAAAATGAAAAATGAAGAGATAGTGAAAGTACAGAATTTGTCCATCCCTGAAGCAAACACACCAACCCAACATTTGCCTTTTTACATTCCCATTGCTGTCACTGTGTATTAGTTCCTCTCATGCCAGTGTTTACGTAAGTGCTCCCTTGGGATGGAGCATGTGGAAAAGCTGGGTTTTGAAGTGGGTACCTGCACATTCCAGGAATCCCACTCCTAATGGTTATAGTTCAACCCTTTGCCCCTTAAATACAATTGACCTGACACTCATCAAGATTAAATGCACTTCCACTGGATTAAATCTGAATTGCTCAATTGAACAACTATGGAAAAGGAAAAACAAGTAAAACAAAAGCCACCATAGTACAAAAACATGGTGACAAGAGGTATCCAAGAGAGGGAAGCATTTTGGCTACACTTCTGGATGAGGACAGAGAGTTGTGGCACACAGCAGCATTTTTCCCAGATGGTCTGGACAGAAATTCCCACTGAACTTTACTGCAGAATTACAATAATTGATGCTGCCAAGAACTCTCAATCTCGATGGGACCAGCATGGAAAAGTAGACTTCACAATATGTTACAGAGCTGTTTTCTTCAGTAAGTCCACAGGGAATCTCATCTTTGACTTAGTACTTAAATTCCTGATTGATTACTTAAAGGACAATAATTATGCCTCCTGATCACCCAAGCCTCAGTGACATTCAGTAACCACAAGAAAATACTAATTCCAAAGAAAAAAAATACAAACCCAGTGAAATACAGACCCAGTATTTTTCCTGGGGAGAAGGGCAAGCAACTGGTGAGGATTTGCCATTCTGGTCTTTGATACTCCATGGTTCAGGTGACACAAAAAATATTGCTTTTCAAATAAGGAAGTTTTAACCATGTAAAGATTAATTATAGAGCTTCAGGGGATGGAAAAAGAGAGATCAATTCCCATAACGAACATCTGTGGCTGCACTGAGAATGATGATTTTGGTGGTCTTGCTGGTGATGTTTCCTCACCTGGTTTGCAAGGCTGGCACTGTGAAATGCAGGGTCCGGCACCCACATTCCCCGCTTCACTCATATCATCAGCCAGGAGACCTCATGATTGGTAGCATTGTGACTCATGGCAGCATCGTCCACCATTCTGAACTGCGCTTCACTGAAGATCCCCCGCCAGCACTGTTGGAGGATCTTGTGTAAGGGCTTAATGGTATTGATATTAATATTAAATAAACTAATAATGGAATGCCATCAAAATTTATAATGAAGTTACAAATAAATAATGCTAGCTAATACTATTGAACAATAGTAATAATTTATTTCATCACTGCTATGGTCAGTCATAAAGTTCTATGTTTAGAACACTGGCTTGTTAGCTTAGCATGCAGGAAAAGAAGGTAATCCTGCAAGCTCTTTTCCCAGAAGAAAACAGTCATCATGGAGTTTTTACACTTCAACTGCTCTTTCATTCATTTGTTGTTATATAATTTTTACCTAATCCTCCAACTAAGACTCTCTCAGGGCCTTATGAAAAAACAAAACAAAAAACACTGATTTGCACACCTACATCTTTCATGTCCCTTAATTTGTCCACATGCCTTCAGAATAGCTGATACTTGCTACAAGAAGACCTCATCAGTGAGACTTTTAGAGTTAGGGATTTGCCTTATCCTGAAATCAGAGAACTAGTCCATCCAGCTCACTGCACTCTGATCAGGTTGGCCCCTGTCTCCCGGATCTGAGACAGAGTTTTTCCATAGCCCAACTATACTTAATTGCTGATGCTGAGGACTGAATCTAGAATTTTTACCACTCCCTATGACCCAGATAGAATCTCTCCACTTCCACAGAATATGTGGGGGCACGCTGGAGACCAAACCATCCTCCTCACTGCAACCACTTGGTGAATTTTCAAGGATCCATGTGAATTTCACCAACGTACTATTATGCCCCTGGGCTTGCACTTTAATGCCTTGCTTTTTAAAAAGGACTTTTGATGCTTTGTGAGCTTTATTTTGTGACCAGGGCTTCTCTTCTTCAGAACACTTAGACAGCATTTTCTACTAAAATTTTTGTGCAGAGGGAGTGTGGTGTTCTGAACAGAACCAGGCTTACCACTTGTCATTGATATTTTTGTATAGATCACTTTAGGCAAAAGAGTCCATCACAAAAGATAGTGAGAAGATGACACAGGACAGGGTGACAATAGCATCATTTTTGGAGATATTCTTTTGATGCAGAATGTATCTTTCTTTTCAGTGTACTGTCTAAGAACTACCAGCATATCCTGGCCTTGGTGTTTGGCACAAAGGAGATAAATGAGAACCTGCAGATATTACCCAATTTCACTCTGGGTTTCAACATTTATGACAGCTATACAAATGCAGATAGGACCTATCATGCCACAATGCTACTTTTATCTGCACAGGAGAGATTGGTCCCGAACTATGTGTGTGACATGCAGAGCAACCCTGTAGCAGTCATCGGGGGACTTGACTCCCAAATCTCCCTCCATGTGGCAACACTCTTGGATATTTATAAGACTCCACAGGTAGGAGACGAGTCGGTCTAAAGCAGAATGGAAGATGTTGACATGACTGAGGCTTCCTTCATCCTTTCAAATATCTTACTGAGTGATGCAAAACAAGAAATAGTTTCCATGAAAATAGTGAGAGGGGCCTTTTGGTCTGTATATTTTGGATGTCTTTGTCAAGCTAAGAAGAAGAATCTTCATTAGTGAATATGTATACAGTTGTTGATCTAGATCATCTTTTATGCTTTGCTGTTGTGCCATTGTGCATTTGCACTTACGTCTTTTTCCCTCCCTCTCTATATATGCAAATGTGTGTGTCTCCACAAATACACAAATACCAAGTCTCGACTAGGGTAGTACCTCTACATTCTTATTTTGCCTCTTACTCTTACTACAACTAGTGGTGGTATAAGCTGCATTTGCAACACAGTGCAGCTAGGTAAGGTGTATTCTTTTCCTTTCCCTTTAGCCTGGATCGCCAGGTTCTTCCACTACACCCAAACAATCCAGTCAGCAAACCATGGCCACTCAGTAGGCTCATTCCACACTGGGTCCTTTAGGGGATTTCTCCAGCTATAGGGCCCACTCTGCCCACTGATGCATCCCTTCTGCATGCAAGCATTGCTCTTTTCGATACATAAGCAAACAGCTCTTGCATTCTAAATTCAGGAGAGAGAACGAATGATTGTTACAGGAGGTCAAGAGAGCTACCTTAAAAAGGCAGATCCATGCCAACCTCAGAACATCTTTTGTAACAAGATAGGGGCCTGATTTTCAATGTGGGAACAGCCACAAGCTCAGCACTGTAATAAAGCATCTCCAGGTAAGAAGGATGGCTTCATAAGAAAGCATTTATGTATGTATGTATGTATGTATGTATGTATGTATGTATGTACGTGCCATATGATTATTGCATGGACACCCAAATGTCAATATCAGATGGACAGGTCAACTCGGCCTCTTTGGAGACTCAATAAAATTCACTGGTGATATATGCAAAGCTACAAGATACAGCAAGAGTCTGACCTTAGATCATCAAGAATTATTTCAACTTACTTTAAGCAAAATGTAAAAGACCATTTTTTCTGCTCTTCATATTCTCTCTCTCTCTCTCTCTCTCTCTCTCTCTCTCTCTCTCTCTCTCAAGCTCATATATGGTGCTGCTCCTATAATGAATGATAAAACCCCAGGTCTTCCTTTCTACCAGATGGTCCCCCAGGAAGCCCTTCAATATAGGGGGATTCTCTCACTATTTCTGCACTTTCGGTGGACGTGGATTGGGATGCTCATTATGGATGATGAGAATGGAGAAAAAATTGTGCAAACTCTGGTTCCAGAGTTTTCCCAGAATCATGTCTGTTTTGCCTTCATAGAAAAACTTCCCACACTCAAATTTATCACTGATTTTTCTGGTATGTTCCAACATGGAGAAAACTTGTGTAATCAAATCATGAGCAGCAACGCTAATGCATTGGTCGTTTATGGAGATTCTTACTCCCTGGCCCTTTTGAGATGGTTGCCATATCTTTCAAGCATGAAAAATGTGTCAGCTGAACCAAGAGGTATAGTATGGATAATGGCAGCCCAGGTGGAGTTTTCATCATTCGTCTATCAACGGAACTGGGATGCAAGCATATTTGATGGTGCTCTGTCCTTAACAATTCACTCCAGTGATCTACCCAGATTCAAAGCATTTCTTCAGGGCAGAAACCCTTCCAGTATTGAAGCTGATGGATATATCAGGGATTTCTGGCAACAAGCCTTTGGGTGTACATTCACAGATCAGGTTACAGGAACATTGGAGGAGACTCCTTGTACAGGAGATGAGAAGCTGGAGAGCCTTCCAAGGTCCTTCTTTGAAATGAGCATGACTGGGCACAGCTACAGTGTTTACAATGCTGTTTATGCTGTGGTCCATGCTTTGAATGCCATGTCCTCATCTCATCTGAAGCAGAGAACAAGAACAAGTAGAAGAGAATTTCAGAATCAAGATTCCTGGCAGGTAGTTCTCAACATCACTCTGTGGGAGAGCAACAATCTTTGGGAGATACAGCAAGCCACAAGCCTTTCCTACCTTTTCTTTTCTGCACTGAAATGTGAGAACTGATACTTGTGCTGTCAGAGCACAATTCCTTTGGATTTTTGTTTTGTTTTCTTTGTTATTTTACAGAAAGAAATTGTCAGAAATCTACAGCAATCACTCTTTTCTCTTTTTGTCTCTTTTGCCATGCTTCCAAAAACTGAAATTCAGAATATCCCCTCCCACCATTGGGCTTACCCAAGGAAGGCATATCAGTTGAGTGGGTATATACTGTGCCCCTTTGGAGAAATATATGTTTGTAAAGCCAACACTGTTTTTGTACATTTAGGATGACATGGTTGGCATGACATTTGCAGTTACCCATAGCATGGAAAACAATCCTAAGTTATTTGAAGGATTTAACTTGTTGTATCAGATGGTTATTTAGTTGCCAAACCTGTGTCTTAGGGCATCTGGCAGAAACCATGACTTTGCTTTTAGAGAAGTTAATATCCAAACTGTCTTCTTGGCAATGCTTAGCTAGTACATGGAATGCCCTTTTCAGGCCATTCTGCATTTGAAAATGCAGCACAGCATCATCTGCACACAAAGGAACAGAGATGTGCCTATTTCCCAATTTCAGTATATGAAGGGAAGGGCTGTTCTGTTTAACAATGAGATAATTCATGTATATATTAAAAAGCAGATGAACTAGTATACATCTTTGTCTCACTCCTCTCCTAACTGGGATTACTTCAGTGCAGTGTCCTTGGGTGTTATATTGGACCTTCCTCTGAGAATTTTCACATAATTTGTATATGAGCATGAGTAATCTTTTATCAATTGAAGAAGAGTTCAGTTTCTCCCAGAATTTGGATCTGGAGATGAGATCAAAAGCACATCTGAAGTCAATGAATGCTGCATAGAGTGATGAGTGTGCTCCAGAGGAGTATTTCTCAGTCAGCTGTTGAAGGGTTAGAGCATGGGCAATGATCACTGGCCTTCCCTACTTGTCAGCCAAAATATTTTCAGTTACAGCCCAGTCCTGAAGTTGGTAATACAGGTGTCTGGCATAAAGTTTACTAACAGTACTGAGGGGGCTAATAGGATCGTAATTGGCAAGTAGATATCTCCCTCCTTTTTTGTAGATTGGAATCACCAAGTCCCAGTCCTTGGAGTCCTCAGCTTGTTTGTCAATATAGGTGAATAAGGAAGTCAAAACAAGTAGCCACCAATCTAAATTGTTTTGAAATTTGGGTTAATTTGTCCTTTGTCTGGCCTGTCCATTTTGTTTGTATTTGTCCCTTGAGGATATCTTCAGATGGAATGGAATAAGTATTCAGAAAGGGGGAAATAAATTGAGCAATAGGGCAAATCACACAGGATGTCAGAGTTGTTTAATAGGTTGGTGATTTCCCTTCTCCCAACTCAACAACTGCCCATAACATCATTCTTCAAAAGCCATTATTCCTCAGCTTGTAATGCCCAGCTGTAGCTTTTCCCAAATTCTTGCTTGTTCCTTTTAATCTAGCTCCATCACTTTCTGAGAAGTATCTCTTTTAATAACAGCGCTGGAGATGAGGTCTCCTTTGACCAGAATGGGTGTTTAAAAGCTGGATTTGATGTGCTCAATTGGGTTCTTTCCTCCAACCAAACTTTCCACCATGTGAGAGTTGGAAGGGTGCACCCACAGGATCCAGAGCAGGCATTAATGATCCATAACGAGGCTATAACATGGCACCACTGGTTTAACCAGGTGAGGTTCATTCACTCATGCTCTTCCTACCCTATCTTTCTACCAAGAAAATTTATTTATTTTATTTTTTATTTATATCCTGCCTTTTCCTACAAAGGACTCAAGGCAGCTTATATCATTCTCCTCCTCCATCTTATCCCCACAACAACAACCCTGTGAGGTAGGTTGGGCTGAGAGTCTGTGGCTGGCCCAAAGTCACCCAGTTGGCTCCATGGCCAAGCGGGAACTTGAACCCAGATCGCCTGAGTCCCAGTACCATGCTCTTAACCACTACACCACACTGGCTCTCAAAATGACCTTCAAGTTGGCTTGCAATCATCAAAAGAATTAGAAACTTGAGTGAAAAAAAATAGAATTAATATATTAATAACACCAACCTGTGTGGATGCCCAGAAGTCTGAATTCGAATGATTGCTAGCATTCAATGGAGGGTGCAAGAAGCACAGAGGCTAAGGTCAGCTCTGCACTCCTCCCAACTTGCGGAAGGTTCAGATCAGATTTCAGCCACTAAGTCTTTTGCCCCAGAGCACAGTGTGAGCAGGCTGAGACACAGTCAGAAGACAATGTATGCTGGTGGAGCCTGGCTCTCCCTCTTCCTGCTTCTTAGAACTCCCACAGAACTCTCCCTTAGAGGTCAGCCTCAGAGGGAAGCTCTGAAAATGCAGTGCCCAAAGCTCTCTGCCATGTCCACAACCTGGGGTGAAATTTAGATCACCCTGAGGCATAATCTAAACAGTTCACAATGAGAAATAAAGGCAGGGGGTATGGGGAGGGGGCAGGAAGAAAGAAATGAGGAATTTCTTTCTTCCATCCCTTCTGCCCCACCAACAGGAAACCAGAAATGCCAACTTCAACCTTGAATTGCTCCAAACAGGCTATCAGAATGCATAGCCCAAAGTCAACTTTTTGTCCAAAAGATGTATTCATAGATCTGCGTTTAAAAGCCAGTGTCCATGTCGATATGTTCGATTTAGGGTTTTTCTGAAATGTTACAGGAAGGGAGTATTAATGAAATTAAAAGTATTATTTAGAAGTCCATGTAGGAAGTAAAACTGTCTTGAGAATAGATCTATAAATAACTTGCCCATCTTCATGAAGTGTTGTACTTTTAAAAGAGAAATAATACTGTACCATACTCATTGTTTGAATTTAAAAAGAGATAACACCCTGTGGCATATCCAGCACTCATGTTCAGACAATTGACACAGGACAGGAAATGTGATGATTGTTTTAGTCAAATTCAAGAAGATAGCTGAAATGTAAGTATTTCAAGTTCATTGTGGTTGTTTTCTCCGTTCTTTTTCAAATTAGGTCCAGCCTCTTTCTGTGTGTACTGCGAGTTGCCATCCAGGTACAAGCAAGCAAGTGAAGGAAGGAGAGCCATTCTGTTGTTACAATTGCATTCCATGCCCAGAAGGGAAGATTGCAGAGCTTGAAGGTGAGTGGGCTGATTCTCGTTCTGCCCTAAGAACAAGAAATCAAGAATAAGAACAAAGAACAAGAACTATTCTACTTAAAAGTAGTGAGATCAACTTTTCTGAAACTTTCCAGTTTAGCAGAGGTGTGATCTTGGATGGTCTGGGCAAATGCTGAGGTAGCAACAGAAATAAAAGTCTTCTTTATAGCAGGTTCTAAAATTTTAGCTTATGTCATTTGCATAAGCAGGATCATGTGAAGGTGTATAGTGGTGGAACTTGCCTGGCCAGTGACCAAACCATCTGGCTGATATTTTTCCTCATTCTAAGTTCCATTGAAGCAATTCACTTCTATTTAACCAATGGAAGAAGCACATACAACATCACCCTGACGATGTTGTAACCATCAGAGAAATTCTTATTCTCAGCACAAGTTGCGGGTCAGAAATATGTTCACTTCACATATTAAAGTGAACTTGCCTAATTTCACACTTTCACACTGAAACTCAGCCAACTGCCAAAATTCTCTCTTCTCACAATGTTGCAGTGGAGTTCTTCAATAAAACATATATGTACAAGCATGTATATATTAGGGAGGAGTGTGTGCAGAAGTTATATGGAAAATAATGTCCAAAATGTGTGATACACTAAAAGTGCTTGCAGAAAAAAATGTGTGTATAAGTCACAGTTGCATACAGAATGCAGGTATTAATAGAAATGTGTAGAACATGCATATGATTATTTAAAGTGGATTTTTATACAAAATTCAAGACAAGCTGTACTTGTAAGTTGAAAAATTCTCAGATTAGGAATGAAATGAGAAAATGCTGCTTCTTCTAAAATTGAAATAAACACATTTTGCACTTTGAAGAAGCAATTTTATGCATGTTTAGACAGAGGAAAGGTCTACAACTCCCAGCATGCCCTACCCATGAAAAGAAAAACAGAATGCAATTGGAAACAGGAGCATGCAAGCTGAGCTTTGAGGTGGGTTCCAGAAAACTTAAGCAAGGTCAAGTCTCACAAACTCTTCCATCCGTCTTTTGAGTCAGGGTAATGACAGTGAAAATACAAAATAAAATTTGACATGTTTGGAGACCTTGTTCAGAGAGCCAGCAATTTTGGTCAAGCTCAAATGTAAGCATTTCTATATGATTTATCCAGGTCTAGTTTTCAACACTGTTTGAGTGCTGCAGCCAATCCAGAAGAAAGAGGTCATTACTTAATCATTGTGGAGCTGCAGCCGTATTTTGCAAGGCATTGTGATAATTTTGTTTTTAAATCCTAAGACATGTTTAGATCTACAAAGTTATGCACTGTTGAAACCAACATTGCCATGTTTAACTTTATTGGTAGGACTTAAGTTTGATAAGATTTGATTTGATTTATATGATGGGACAACAACAGCATATAATGAAGACCCATGGAACCTTTGTGAAATCTTTTTTTTTTTTTTTTTGATATCTTTTCTATTGGATGACTGTCCAATAGACATGGATGACTGTCAGAAATGTGAGGACAGAAGCTATCCAAAGAAGGACCAGGATTACTGCATTCCCAAGACAGTAACCTTCTTGTCTTATGAAGAACCTCTGGGTCTCAGTTTAGACTTCTTTGGTATTTTCTCTTCTTTGATCACAGCTCTGGTCTTAGGGATATTTGTGAAGCACCACAACACTCCCATAGTCATTGCTAACAACCGGAACCTCACCTATGCTCTCCTCATCTCCCTCCTGCTCTGCTTCCTTTGTGTGTTCCTATTCATTGGCCAGCCAAAGAAGGTGACGTGTCTCCTCCGGCAGACCACTTTTGGCATCATCTTCTCTGTGGCAGTCTCTTGTATATTGGCAAAAACCATGACAGTAGTTCTGGCTTTCATGGCCACCAAACCAGGGTCCACGATGCAGAAGTGGATGGGGAAAAAGCTGGGCAGCTCCATTGTTTTTTCCTGCTCCCTTCTTCAAACAGGCATCTGTACTGTGTGGCTGGCCACAAATCCTTCCTACCCAGATGTCAATGTTCATTCAGTACCTGAGGAAATAGTCCTGGAATGTAACGAGGGCTCTGTGACTATGTTCTACTGTGTCCTGGGCTATCTGGGCTTCCTGGCAATGGTCAGCTTTATGGTGGCTTTCTTTGCCAGGAAGCTCCCGAACAGCTTCAATGAAGCCAAATTCATCACGTTCAGCATGTTAGTCTTTTGCAGTGTTTGGCTATCCTTTGTTCCAACCTATCTAAGCACCAAAGGAAAACACATGGTAGCTGTGGAAATCTTCTCTATATTGGCCTCCAGCGCTGGATTGCTGGGTTGCATCTTTTCCCCAAAATGTTACATTATTTTAATAAGACCTGAGTTCAACAGCAGGGAACAGCTTATCAGAAGGAAAGACTGAAGAATTATAAGTGTCTGCTCTTTGGGATGATGTGGAATCTAGGGACTGACATCTGTGTGGAATATTGGTGAAAATTCCCCTGTCTGCACCTACTCTCCTGCAAAACTCGCCAACTTCTTGCTGGTTGTATTTTTCATTTAGAAAATTACCAAAGGCAAAACCACTGTATTTGTACATAAAGCTCTGCTGTACCATGACCTTCCCTTCCAGCTAGGACAATGAATTTTCAAAGCAATTTCTTTGGGCACAGACATGGACATGCATGTGATGCATTTCCTAATTCTGAGTAGCAAAGTGTATTTCTAAGCATTTCAGGGCAGATGAGGCCAAAAAAAAAAAAAGTACCATATGAATGAATCTGGTCTCTTAAAAACACAGAATGTAATATTTATCAGACCTTCTTTTCCTCCTTACGATTCCTTGTTGCTATGGGTGGGTGAGAAATGGAGGACCCTGAGAGAGCTTTTTGGGTTTATCAAATCTCCAAATCCTAGAAATGAAAGTAGAATTGGATTAAGTTTGCAACCAAAATCCATACATTACTCAGCTTATGCCGTGTTCTGTAAATTAAAAAATGCATTGGGCAACATGGGCCAATTTTAAAATGCAACACCCACACCCCAACTGCACACAAACATAAATTAATGAATAAAAGAATGCATCTGTTAATACACCTGTTAATGTGTTCATATGAAAAATATTCAAACAATATGTACAAATAATTTTTGGAAAGTCCACACAGAACTGAGGGAATTAACAGCTATCCTTTTGTCATGGTTGGATCACTTCCTGGTCAGATTAGGACTTTCAGCTTCTTTCCCCCTTCATAACGGTGCAGGACCTATTAAAATGGTTCAGTCTCAGAGCCAGATGGATCCTGATGGATTCCTGAAGGGTCTGGGGAATTTCTGGCTGACATGAGAGGTGTCCTGTTGAAACCTAGATCATGCTATGGAACTGGGAACTGGCCCAGGCAAAATCACTTGGATCTACCATGGTTAGACTCAATAGTTGGAGTTCATCCTGTACAGCAAGTGTCTAGCTCTCCATCTCATCGAGTCTTGTTGGATGAGTATAAATTATTGTGGCCTGAGGATGTGGTCAGTGTAATTGGATAAGTCCATCCCACCACCTGTATACTCTACCCTTGTCCTTCCTGCTTGATCACCAAGGACAGGGAAAGGATGCAACCCTGGGTGCAGGAGGATATCAACACCTCTCTGAGGGAGGGTGGACTGGTTCCCTCTCCTTTGAAAGAAGCAGTGATTTGGCGAATGCTGCAGAAGGCAAACCCGGACCCAAAGGATGTCACCAATTATAAACCGGTGGCTAACATCCCTTTTTAAAGCAAGGTGCTTGAGAGGATGGTGGCTGGGCAATACTGGGCACTCTTGGAGAAAAGTGACCATCTTGATCCATTTCAATCTGGTTGCAGGCCTGGTTATGAGACTGAAACTGCCTTGCTCTCCCTATGGGATAACCTTTTCTGGGAGAATAACAGGAGGAGTGCTCTCCTGTTAATTCTCTTGGACATTTCAGCTGCTTTCAATACAATTTACCATGAATAGTCAATGAATAGGTTGGCCAGGTTGGGAATCTGAGGCACTGCTTTGCGGTGGTTCCACTCCTACCTGGCTGGCTGATTCCAGATTGTGTCACTAAGGAATTGTGGCTCAGCACCATGACAGTTATGCCATGGGGTGCCACAGGGTTCCATTTAATCCCCTATGCTGGTCAATAGCTACATGAAACCACTGGGAGAGGTCATCTGGAAGTTTGGGCTGAGGAGTTATCTGTACCCTGATGACACCCAGCTCTACCTCTCATATACATCCAATCCAGATGAGCCACTGACTGCTCTAAACAGGTGTATGGATGGTGAGATGGCTGAATGAGGGCCAATAAATTGAGTCTCAATCAAGATAAGGCAGAAGTGCTGCTGGTGGGTGTTCCAACTGTTCAGCTTAGTGATATGTGCCCTGTCTTGGATGGGGTAGCCCCTAGAATATGCAATGGGCTACCACAGGAGGTGGTTGAAGCCCCATTGGTGAGGGTGTTCAAGGATGGGCAGGACATGCACAGGGTAGACATGTCATGAACGGGACCAACTCAAGCCAAGGGTCAGACTAGATAGCCCAGGAGACCCCTTCTTACACACTCTGTTTCTATGTTTCTAACTTATCTACCCTACACTGTAAATAATGGGGAAAAAATGGACCCAAAGAAACATTGGCGGATAATGAATGGGAAACTAGGAGTACACAATAACTGCTTTACACTGAAGGGTTGTATAAAATCAGCCACTTCCTGAGTGAAAGTCCCTGAACTCTATATTAGAATTAATTGTTTAATCTCCCAATGCTTGACTGTTTTTCTTCAACCGAGTAATGACTTTGTGTACACCTGACAAACAGGCTTAATTTCCATAATACCTTGCACACACAAAATGCCCACAATGGAAATTTTTTCCCCAGCAGTTCAACAAGGATATTACAACTTCAAACTGGTAATTATCTTGCATTTTAATTATGCAAAGGATAGCCATTCATCCGGCTGCTCCATAAAACCCATCAGGGGTTTCAAATGGCCACAGGTCATGTTAAACAGAAAACGATGAAGGCTGTCATAAATATGCCTAGAAGATGGGAGAGATGAGGAAGGGACCATGAGCAAGCAAGATGCTTATGCTGTAATCATAGATACTTCTCTATTAGCAGACCAAGCTATCAGCAGACAAGACTGCCACTAGAGAAGGGAATTCCATGCCTCAGTGCTCTAAGGCCTAAAGTGTCCAGGAAAGGAGCAAATCTGATATTCAGCAAAGATTCATAGACTCATAGAATAGAAGACTTGGCATTCTGCTTAGAATGGTGCTTCTTGAGATCTTGCTTCTGGCACTGTTTGTCCAAATCCTATGCCAGGCACGCATCCTCAAATGCAACATCTGGGAGCCGCCCGTCCCACTGCAGGCCTATCAGTCAGGAGACATCCTCATTGGCAGCATTGCTTTTCACGGTTTCTTCATCTCCAGTGCAATAACCTTCACCGAGGAACCTACACCAGACTCAGTCAAAGAACTAATGTACGGATTGAATTGCTGCTTGTTTTAATTTCTTCTTCATCTGTCACTGCACTGATTAGTCCCAGGGCTCCAAACTGTGGCTGAAGCTGCAGCCGTACATGCACACCCCTGGGGGAAAGGCTCCATAACTATCTTTATGTCCCTTCATCTCGGTTTCTCTTCTACTCAGTGATGAATCCATTGCTTACAATTACCACAGAATCTGGCTGCATATGAATAAGGGCATGGATAAAACACACACATGCAAAGATGATGCATTAATTTTGTAATGCTATTTTCTTGAAGGCCACATCTTCAAGAATATTTATTTTGAACATAATTTCCATAGTATTCATGTCCACAGCCCATTCCCTCTGATGCTGGCATTTTTGTACACAGCCTTACCACCTGTTACAGGGGTGAGCACCAGTTAACTCAAAGAAGGTTGCTTCCTACTGTGCATATCCATATAGTTTTGTTCTGTTGGTGTTTATTGTCAATCCGTCACTTGCTCTTTTTCAGCCTACTGCTCAAACTCAAGCCACTTTCTTTCTAGCCATGCATGAAGAGCTTTGCTTCATAGGTGCTGACTTCAACTCTGAGTCTCAGCTGTCACCTCTCCTTTCAGCATGATCCCCAAGAATTACCAGCATCTCCTGGCCCTGGCATTCGCAGTGAAGGAGATCAATGAGAGCCCTCACATACTGCCGAACCACACTTTGGGCTTCTCCGTCTATGACAGCTACGACAATGCACGGAGAACCTCGCAGGCCACCCTGCAACTTCTGTCAGTGCAGGAGAGATTGGTCCCCAACTATGAATGTGCCATCCGCAAAAATCTAATAGCAGTCATTGGGGCACTAGACTCCCACATCTCTCTCAGTGTGGCAAATATCTTGGATATCTACAAGATCCCACAGGTAGGAAGCCTGTTCCTTTCTGTATGTGAGAAATCAAAATGTTAAACTAATATCACACCTCCTTATTTTTTCCTGTCTCCAGATTGAGACATTTTTCCATTTTACTTGTTTTATATAAAGGGAGACTACATTATTCCCATACTTGCCTTCTTTCTCAATACATATAACCTTAGCTTAAAGAAAAAAGATAAAATATACTAAAACATTATATTCTGGGAAATCTAGTGCAATTCAAAACTATTGGAAAAAATCAAAGAAAACATTAAGATTCTGGAAATGCTAGTCAGGTAGAACTAAACAAGTATAATAAAGCCTGAACTATTTGAGTCACTATGTAACATGGACGTGTGAACCACAAAACTACCAAGCCAGACACAGTTACAGTGCAGTCTCACACATTTGGATGCAGGTTTCTCCACAGGTCAAACCAGCCGAGTTCTGTGATGTAGGCTTGACTTGAGAAATTGAATTTGCCTGCCAGTGTCTTCCTGAAACATCATTTTGTGGATTGCTTCAACTGATATCATGGCTTTTAAAAATTTTGGACATCATACTATTTCTCCCTTTCTGTGATATTTCTACACAGTATAATTTCTATTAGCCTAAAGTCCTGGAAAGATGAGGTACAAACTTAGCATGCACACTCACAAGTATTTCAAGACTTCTTAAAGGAATGTC